TGCTTCAGTCATATCAAAACATGCGTGCTGCTTCCTCCCTCCATGATGTTCTCCGTACACTCTGTTCCAAGCCTGAACTGTCCCACTGCCCGCGCCCACGCCAGCCGATTCCCTCCTTGGGCACATCCCCCAAGCCAGCTCTCCCACCACCCTTGTGACTCTTCCCCGAGCTTCCACCTTCCCAGGCCGCAGGACAGCCTGCCAGGCAGGAACGGGGACACACCCCTGTCTGCAGCTGCAGCACCCAGCATGGAAACTGGCACACAGTAGGTGCTCAAATATGCTTGCAGAAGGCAGCGGGAGGGAGGAGTGAGGAGAAAGCAGTAAAAGTTTGGAAGTGGAAACAGCTAATTAGGAGTAACCCAGACATGCCCTGCCTTAACTGTCTGCAGACAGAGCAGTGACCCTTCTGCGCTGACTGCAAACAGGTGCACCTGGCGTCACCATGACAACGGGGCCTGAGGAGGTGAGGGAGGGCTGGGGGCTCCCCTAGGGCTCTGGCACTCCTGCTCACTGTCTCTGAGCACTCAGCAGGCAGAAGCCACATGTACTCGGCATGCGAGGAGAATGAACCCCAGGTTCTCCTAAAAGAAAGTAGGGGCCAATCCCACTTGGGATGAGGCGGGCTGTCACTCACCAGACTGTGACAAGGACAGCCACCGTTCACACGCCCTGGACCCATGCAAGTCAAAAAAAAAAAAAAAAAAAAAGCGCTCAGCCCTCCCAATCTGCCAGGTCAGCAATAAGAAATTGGAGAAAACGGATTTGGCAGCATCCACAGGGTATTAAATATTCATCCTGACTACCCATCAGTAAAATCCCAGCAGAATACACCCACTGACAAGTCGGCTTTCTACACCGGAGGCTCTCCTCCTGGAAGCTTGTTTATTGCTTTGTCAATTTGAATGTGCAATATTTAACAGCCAGACCAAGAGAGGGTCGTAAACATTTGGAAAATGAGTGCTGACATTTCCCTTATTGTTTCTGTATTTAGGGATATGTAATTGGAGAGTGTTTTTTGGTGCTAAAGAAAATCAGAAGGAAGCAAAGTGATGCTTGGAAATTAAGAGAGAAAAGAATTGATTAAGAGCAAAGAATCGAGTATGTTGAACTGGCTTAAAATCTTGCCTAAAGGCCCCTTGGGGGTCACCCCCTGTGATCGATGGGAGTCAGGCTAAGCTAAATCAACAAAATGGGAGTGATGGCATTCCTTGAAGATTTCCTTGGGGATGTGCAGATGGAGCAGGAAGTAGGTAAAAAGAATGGTCAATAATAGATCCACAATCGATCGTGCCATCCAGCCAGAGATTTTAATGAATCAAACACCTGTGATGTGGTCAGGTCAGCAGGTGGCCCCGGCAAGGGCTGGTCTGGGGCACAGATCACACAGAGCCCTTTGGGAGCAGGTGACATGAGCAGTGAAAGGCTGATACATGGACCAGCACGAGAGAGCCAACGGTCCCTGGGTTTCTCTATGATTCTATTGGAATAAGAATATTTGACAAAATATTCTTAAAAGGGGGTGGGGGCAGGTGGTGGGGGACGCTCCTAGGGAAAACACCAGAGCAGGGATAAGAAGCCCTGTTTTGAGGGGCAAGGAATGGAGGGAGAGCAGATAGAAGAGAAGCCAGCACTGGTTCTGAGCTCTAGTATCCCCAAGTCTTAGGAGCCATCTTGTGGCAGAAGTTTGAAGAAACGGGAGTTAGAGGAGGCATAAATTAAACTCCTACACCATTAGGAGACCAGAACCTCTATAGGTACCTCGTGACCCCAACTTGAAAAAAACAAATTTAAGTATTTGCTAATGGGTGTCAGGAAATCAAGGATGGTACACCAGAGAGAAGAGAGGTCAAATAAAAGTACCTGGTACCAAAGAGGATTCCTGAGAA